CAGTTATGTGAGTTTTGTCTATCTGGTGATCTTCCGCAACAATTATAAGAATGAGGGGTTTGTGACCTATCATTACTATAGCTATTTATGAGTTGTTTTCCTGAGCTATTTTTAATTTGAATGGTTTTCTCTGGTAAACTCTGGCCATTTTTCATGTATTGGTAAAAAAATTTAAAAGTTTTTTTTTGTATTTTTGGTCTGTTTGAATTAACTTGTTGTTTTTGTTTGCATTCAGCAATACTATTTTCGGAAAATTAAATCGGTTTCTCGGATTGATGAGTGATGCTATGCTCTCTTTTTATCAATAAAATTTCTTATGGTGTCGTTAAAGTCATCATTAGAATTTCTTTCATTTTCGTAATTTTATAGTCGTTTGTATTGAGAGAAAAGGCCTTTTGTAATAGAGTTTTGATTCCTAATGTGAATTGTTCAATTGTTTAATTAAAAAGTCTACACTCTTCGTTGCATAAAATCCTTTGTTGTGGTTTGTTTTGATAAGAAACGAAAATTTTTGAAAATTCTTGAGTAAATTAATTCCAAACGGATATAATTTTCATGGGTAAACTTAAAACAGTTTGTGGGCTGCGCCGTCGAGCCTAGTATGTACCACTGCGTCTATGAATCTTTATTTGATTAAGTGATGTGCTTATAGATTCTGGTCCTATGTTTAAGATTAGGTTAGCTGTAACAGCGTTTAACTAGTCTTCTTCTGAGTATTCAGGATCTGTTCCTGTGAATACCGTGGAGTGGTTCATTAGATATTATAGATGATCCATCCAAAACGTATGGATTTATTGTCATTTGGAGTGAATCTGCTGTGTTTGGTGTTTGTGTACAATTTTGAAGTTGACTTTTTTAAATTTCAAGTTTTAAATAATAGGGTAAGTGCATTTTGTTTTTCATGGATTCGGGTGGTCAACTTTGGTTATTTTTTTTTATAGTTTTGCGATTGTACATTATGATTGGTTTGTGCCAAACTTTGTCTTTGTGAAATTTAATGTTGTGTGTGTCTTGGTTGTTGGGAGTTCCTGTAAGGTTCGAAAGCATCTGGTTGAAAAAAATCATCTGACTGATCTATATCATTCCAGTGATTTTTTTCGCTGATTGTTTTTATACTGTTTTTCGTTTTGATTAAAAAAACCTTCCTCCGCAGAGTAATGTGGTTGGATTCTCATGAATTGCCTAATAATTGGGTTGTTTTTGTTTTGTTGAAAAACTGGATAACTCTCAGTGCGATCTGTCTGATTTTTTCCTTTTATCGTTAAAATTTAAAATTAGATATTGTTTTTGGTACCTGTTGGCTACAATTGTGTTCCTGAGATAGATTTTTTGTTGTATAGAGTGGGCGTGCTATTTGATTACTAATGTTATTATTGGTGAAAAATCATAATTATGATTTGCAAAGTTACTTCCAGTTGGTGTCTTTGTTAGATGGTCGTTTTTTAATTATTGGTCTAATTGTTTGATAATCCATATTAATTATTGGAACAATTGATGTTTGTAATGTCGTTGACGGAAAAAGAGTATTGCTTTTATGATGTGATATTGTAAGTGTTGGATGAATAGGAGAGATACTTTGTAGTTTCGTTATATGTAGTGTTTCGACTTTTTCTTTTTTTCACAATATGTCATGGAATTTGGATTAGATATCTTGTTGTGTTAGGTTTCTGGTACCATTTAGGGTTTTTTGTGTTTATATAAAAGTTGAATTAAAACTAATGTTCCTTATCCTTTCATTAGGCATTGCGTTTAAATTTAAAGATGTGGTATTAGCTGTGAATGTAGTTACTCTTAATTAATCTCTGTGTACGGAAATCGTTGCAAATGCTGCACTTTATGTTACAAAATATTACATGAGACCATTCAGCGGCCCATACATAATCTGTTTTGTCTGCTATGCTATTTTTGCTTCATTACTCGTTTGTGGTCTAAAATTATATCTTGCTTGTGCAATTAGATCTAAATTGTGTTGAAAACAATCTAAAAGAAAACATGCTAGGATTCTTTGTAGAACAACTTTATTTATTTGTGGTATTTAACTATCAGAGAGTGTTTCACGAATTAAGTCTAAGAATTGTTTAAAAAGATTTGTTTCGCGTCTTATTGTTTCGTGTCGAGATGCTTGTGGTGGTTTCATTCGTTTCTTATATAAAATTACACCAATGAATGATTGAAAAGACATCAATTGTGAAGATTGAGTTGGCTTTTTGTATAATTTAATGTTTATTTTTTTTTAAAATTTAGTCGGTAACAACTTATGGGAAATCTAATTCTATATCATCTGTTTGTCTTCGGTGTGGTGGTTGGTTTGATTATTGTGATGGTAGATTTTCATTAGAAAATATGCCGTAATGGGAAGTGATATTACTGAATTCTGGTAGGCAGTGATCAAGTATTGTGTTTTGATTTTTACTTCAAATTTTTTTGTTTGCATGGGCTACCTCCTTTTTGAATTAAATTTACGAATAGATTGCGGCATGTACTTGTCCTCTAGTGGAACAAACGGATTAAAGACAAAGGGAAGGATAGAGTCATCACCAAAGTTCTCCTCGTATTGAACCAGTTTTTTGTGCGGGATTTATATAATGAGTAAATTTCAATATATCGTTTCGGTTGATTCCTATTGTTGAGTCGTACTGGTTTGCGAAAATATGAATTATGTGTTTCTTATGTTTTTATTATGTGTTTCTCTTTTACAGATGATGCTGTTGTGGATTCCGATTCTGAAAACTAACTTGTCTACTGGTTTACTTTTGTCGTGGATTAAATCTCGAAGGTTTTGAAGTTCTTGTTTTGTTGTTGAGTCAGATTTCAAAACTGCGTTTGGTGTTCTTGGAAATATTGACATATTTATTTGTTTCTGTTTTATGATTATTGCCTCATTTTTTTAAAATCTTTTGAATCCAATTCTTTGTTCAGGCGGTGTATTTACAAGATCGTATCTTTTTTCTTTGATTAAAAAATTATGATATAATATTATTTGTATGTTTCCTAATTGATCTCTTGACTTGAGTGTTAGAGTGATGGGAGCAAATTGCAAGGGTTAAGTTTTCAGTGTCCTAAACTATTAGTCCTTTGGTTTTTTGCGAGGTTATCTCTTGTTCCTGGGGGATAAACTGTCGTGTTTAGACGGGTTGGAGAGAGAGCATATCGATTCGTTAGAATGATTTTATATTTTCTCGAGTGGTTAAGTTTTAAAAGAAAATTTAATCTTCCTTAGGGTAAGTACTACGTATTTTAAGATATGTATTAGCCTGGGTCGATTAAGAGGAGGGGCTTAGGGGAAGGATGAGTAACCGAAGCTCTTCACTGTTTATCTTAAGTAAAATGGTTAGTTATTCAAAAACTTTAACTAGTTCTGGGTCGTTTGTAAGGGCTGGAGAGTGAAACGATGTTTGAGGTCGTTAAGCACTAATTCTAAGAGGTGGACTAAGGGGAACAAAGTTGAACTAATTGATCTAAGGAAAGCCTTGATGATCAAATATTTAGATTGATACAAAAGTGAAATTAAGTTCAATTTTTCAAAGATGGACTTTTGCCTTAAAGATCTGGTCTTAAAGAAAAGTTTTGATTGAATTAAAACAAGAATATATAATGACAAGATTTAAGTTAAAGATCTACGAAATGGTTAGAATATAAAATTTGTGATGTTAGCTTTATGAGTAATTATGTGCTATGTTTTGGACGAAGAAACAAAGACGCAAGATTGAAGATGACCGGAGTCCTTGAAAAGCAAGGAAGATTTGTAGTTTTGATAAAAGCACTTTAAATTAATTTACTATTTATGTTTTGTATTTTTAGTCAATTAATTTTTATTTTACAGAAGTTTTGATGTTACTGCCGATTTTTAATAAATAAACGACTGATCTAAAATGGTTTGGTTTTATACTATCACTAGTTATACATCATTGAGAATTATATATCTTGGAAATGAGTTTTACTGCTCCAAGCATTCTTATTTCATATTAGTGAAAGAAAGTGTACTGCCCTGATAGTTTTGTAGAAAAATTGTCGTTGCAGTCTGCTTTTTTGTTTCACGACGTAGAAGCTTGGTCCGCCAATCGGGTTTTGACCTTGTGTAAGCTTGAATTTTCGTTGGTATTGATTAGACCTATTGAGACGCGGATGTAAGTTTTCACTAATTCTTAACTTTTTGTGGTGTGTTTTTGATCTTATTTCTGTTTGCTAAATTTTAAAGAGGTCTGCTTAAGACTCTTGGTCGCACCAGATGAAATTGAGTCCGGAGTGGCTCAATCATAGAGTAATTCCAGATAACGTACAAAATCAGATTCGTATAAACTTTGAAATATTTAAGACAAAAAGTGGTTCCAAGTTTGCTGTTCTTGAGGAGATTTGGACTGTACATTTTGTTTCGAAACACATTTCACTTTTTATTTAATCTACCAAACTGATTTTCCGAATTCTTCTAAAGCATCATGCACACATTGGCGCTTTTAAGCAATTTTTAGATTCAGTTGGCCGACGCCTACTAAATCCGCCCTTGATCAGATATGACAATTTGTCAGTAGATAAATAGATGATTGTGTTCATTGCAAATCTAGTTGTTCCGACGACCCGTTTAGTTTTATGCTGTTTCAAGTTTTATTCCGACGTTATTTTTGCTGCTTTTGTTGGAAAAACTGAAAAATTTGTAATTTAGAAAACACAAATCTCGAAAAAATATTTTTAATAAAATAACTGTGACGAACCGTTGGTGTGGTCATTTGTTGAAGGAAAATGAGGTAAGATCTTTAAAAATAATATGCTTGGAAGGAGGTCTCATTTAAACCTTTTTCATGTTTTAATCCAGCTGAAAAAAGTAGATGAAAATAAGTTTGACAATAAAGTTACATAAAAGTGGATCAATGAGTCCTCTTTGAATAAACGTCGGTCTCAAATATACATTTGACTACTGAAGTAGAAGTAATGGTTCAGTTATGCAATATGTTTTACGCCCTCCCCTCCCTCCAAATATGTTTCAATTTTGTAGGTTCAAAAACTTCAATGACAAAATATAAATTCTACTGAAAATATTTATAAGCATAATGCATCTAGTTCGAATATTATATTTGTTTTTCATTGGAAATGGAAAAAGGACTCCTTCCGTGTATTTGTGTTGGGCAGTCCCCAAGAATAAGGGTTGATTCTGAGTAACTGCTGGCTGGGGTTTGCTGGAAGGTTGGAGTGTAGGTGTAGTTTTGGGTATGGTGAGATGGGCGAGTTCTCTGGCAGTTGGAACATGACCCTGAAATCAGGACTGATGGGGCAAAAGTAGGGGTCAACTGATGCAATTGGCGACTCTTTCTTTTCATTTTTGTTTATCGTCACTTCAAGTTTTTCACCATCGCAACACCCTTTGTCAGCTTTTTCAATGGTTTCTTCTTTCATTGGACAGAAACTCTTTGGTTTTTCAGATGCGGGGCAGATAACTTCAATAGCAGTTTTATTTTCAATGGTCACATTCGTTGTTTTAGAAAGATTTCGATTTATTCCTGCATTTCCTTGCTTTGTAGGGGACCAAATTTCTGCCTTCTCTTTTTTAAAATCGCTATCTCCGTCACCTTTTGAAGCTTTGCTATCATCTTGCTTAATTGTTTTTCGTTCACATGCAAGATACTCTTTGTCAAAGTTTCTGTTCGCAGTTCCGTGAGTTGCATTTGGGTTCGCAGTAAGTTCCGACTTGCGACGCTTCCTTCCGTCTCCTGCCACTGCGGTACAGCTGTCGTCTCTCACCGAAGCAGTTGAGGTCTGATCATCTGATGTAGTTGTTCTTCTCTTGGTCTCAGAGGGTGATTCAGGAGAGGACCCATCGGAATCTGAATCTGAACTGAAGCTTCCTTCATAGTCAAATTTCCTGTAACACAACAGTAACCGGTTGTCAAGCAAGCTGGTTGCTATGCAAGTCTCGATTTTTGTTTACTGTTTCAAAAGATTTAAAGGTGAGCAAGTTGATTGAAAAAAGAGTTAAAAAAGTGTTTTGCGAACAAGGCAAAAAATGAAGAAAATTTACATTCCCTCAATTTATATTTCATGGTCAAGCTGTATATTCGAATGAGCGTTTTTTAGACAGCGGATTTTTTCCATACCAAAACAAGCTTTTTTTGTAACTTGACGTTATTGCGAAATTGTGTTACGTCGAGTGCTTGGAAAATCAAATCATCCGATTTTCTATTGAATTTTTAGGCAAGTTTACTGTTTGGAACATCTTAAGTCTTTCCTCCTCTTCGCACCTTACCTCCTTCTGGTTTTGATATCAGGACCAATCTGATTGGGCAATGGTAGTTGAGCCGAAGAATTGACTGTAGTCGACGCAGCGGTCTCTCTGAATCCCTTGGCAAATGGGTTGTAGTCTATCTTCAGTTGGGTAATCTGCAACAAAATTTTATCACAATTTTTGTAAAAGGTTGAGAGTTAATGCTCATTTTCTTAGTGCGGATAAGGTTTAAGCAAAAATGTAAGCAAGCATATGGCCATAAACAAAAATTGGGTAAAGGGTTCATCATACTTGGATCCATACCAGGCCTTGCATGTTTATATAGCCGTAGCTACTATTTTCTATTGTACCATCCCCTGATTGTGTTGATAGTCTAGTTGCGTAATGATACTGACCGAGTCATTTTGGTAGGCAGTCACTGCAATGAACGCTGTCTCAGGGAATGAGTAGGTGTAGAAGCTGCTGGCATCGAACATGGATCCACTGGAACCCAAACCACCTCCTCCCCCTATCCCTCGCCCTCCTATTGCTGTGGCATGATGGTTGAAGTGTTCAAGGATTATCAGCCGGGGCACGTACTTGTGCATGCTGTTTAGAATGATCTAAAACAGAAGCAAGGAAAAATTCGAAGCCAAGGAAGTCACAAAGCTGAAAAAAAAAAACAAATTTCGATTGAAACCGAAAAAAAAAAAACGAAACGTTGACGAACATTTTAACGCCCTCTTTAGTTTATGTTTCTTATAAAAAGGCTAAATACTTGTGAAACACTTCAATTTTTTATAGGAATTGCTGTTTAAGGAGTAACTGTGAAGTTTGCTTACATGTCCGTTTCGGTCGAGGTTGTTGTTTGTGAGTTTAATTCTGTGGAATGATATGCACTGTGTCGCCAGCCATGTTCTGCCTGATGAGGGGGAGTCCGGGTGGAAATAGAGTCTGCCTGGCATCCTCGGTTCGGCCTTGCCACTGATGACCCACTTGGAATGGTGGAACTTATGTCTACTTGTGTCTACAGGCATCATGTCCAGCATCACCGAGTACTCCCTGTCCGGATCCAGACCACTCAGCCGCAGTTTCACGACTGGAAACATCCTCCGGCCACTCTTGGTGATGATCATCTCAGTTCCGATCTTGTTGAACATGCGCCACAGAGCGGCATTCTCAAGAGTGACTTTGATCTTCGGGTGGGGTTTGTTTGGGGGGAGAGGAGGTAGAGAGTGAAGTGCTTGTTGCACTGCAAAGCAAGACACGTTCACATTGGGAACCCCAACCGCACTTGGCATGTTGGCAACGGAGACAGGGTTGAAGCCGGTAACACATGAACCCCCACTGGAAAACATGTAGGGGTGGGGAAAAGAGTAGGCATGAGGGGAGATGTTGGAATCCTGCTGAGGTTGCTGGCCATTGAGAGTGATGGTGGAAGGAATGCATGGCATTGAGTGCCTGCTCATCGCAACCATCTGCTGGGAGTGGTGTGGGTGGGAAAAGGGCATTTGGAACTGGAACGGGTGGGTCATTGTCCAGGCGGGGTTTGTGGGCATGTTTTGGCCTTGGCTGGTCAGTTGATGTGCATGCGTCTGTGGATGGTGATGGTGACTGGCGGAACCTCCTCTTCCTAGATTAACATTTGCTTACTTTTCACCTTGTATCACCTTGTTGTTCCGACTTTCGATACGAAAGTAACGGAATATTTGTGCTCGGGGTGGGTTTTTTTTCTTCAGACAAATTTCGACTTTTTAACTAGCCATTTTTGACGGAAATTTTTTTATATCATTCGAAAGCTACTGTTGTCCTGAGCTTAAATTTGAAAAGATATTTCACCTGTGATCATTTTTCGTAAAGTTATGAGGGTTTAAAGATTGCCATTTTGGCCATTTTGACCAATTTGGGACAATTAAAATGCGATATAATTCGCGCTATTAACGCGTAAGCGGAGAGTTAATCCGTCTTAGGCGTGTGGGGGGATGATTTTCATAGAAAAATTTTCAAATTTTAGAAAAAAAATTTTTCATTTTTTTTGTTTCATTTAATTCTTTTATGTTGTTTATGTTATTACTGCTTCATAAACGTTAAAAGGCAGTCGGAACTTTCAGGGCTTCGCCCTGATACGAGCAGTCTTGTTTCTACTTTCAATTTTTTTATCTGAATTTCTAACTGATTTTTAATGAATTAAAATTAAGTCAACTAAGTTTTACTTTAGAATATATATATTATTGTCCTGGACAAAACTAGTTTAAACCTAAACTCACCGAAACTGATTGATGGAAACATCTCAGAAAGCCAGTTTTTTAAAACTGAAAGCTAATTAATGGCAATTGAATTAATTGACTTTTATTATGCACGATGTAACTTTTCAATGCAGTTTAAAAACTCGTCTGCTCTTTGAAATCTTCACTTACAGCAGTTTGTCAAATTGAATTTTGATTCGAAAACAGTTGAATGTAGCAAGCCAATCACAATACCAATTTAGAGGTATGAAGACAAACAAGAATTAGATGATGCTTTTTATCGTTAAGCACTATCAACTTAACCATCTGTCACGCTGTGGTACATATCTGCTATTTTTATTTTAGAGTCCACATTAATTTTGAATCTTCGCTTCCAGAAAATCCGGATTGTTCATGTTTCTAAGGATGCTGATAGTTCTCAAATCGCGATGATCTTTCGAAAAAAGAAACTGTAAAAACCCAAAAACAGCTTTTTGGCATTTTTATTTAAAAGCTCGCCTGCAGCGCAAAACTTTTAGACAAAATATGGTCGTTAAACTGCTGCACGAGAGCTCGAAAATGTACATTTCGGAAGAAACACCCCAAATCTTTTCATAAATTTTCCTCCCGTATGCCACTGAGCGCAACTGTTTCCTACTAATCTTCTGCCATTCCAATTTTTTAAAAACTTATTATGCCAGATACCAAAATAGAAAAAAAGTTGATATTAAAGAGCTCTTTTGTGGAAGTTTTTAAAGTAATTTGAAGCGTCAAACCCTATAGCAGCCTTGCTAATCGTAACCTGCGGCTCGATGTGAACTAATTCAAGTAACTCAGACTAGAGAAAAACCTCATACGACATAAGAAGGAAACTTGGCTAACTAACTGATGGTTTAGATCTTAGTTGCAGTTGTACTTTCTTGTCATCTGTTTCACATTACCCCTCGGTACCTCTAGTCCATAATGGCTAATAAAGTGTCATTTTCCGAAAAAAGTTAATCTTTGCATCTGAACATTACTAAAACGATTCCAGCTACTCTGCCAAAGCTAAAAATGGCTGAAACTCACCTAAGCAAACATGTGTCTTAACGCTACTTAATCTCAAATTCTCTCCAGGAAAAGCAAACAATCTTCACAAGCAGCTTGTAGGAAAAAAAATTTGCAAACGGGAAAACTAAAAAAAAATCAAAACTTCTGAAAACTTGAATTTTGTTGAATTAGCTCAAAATGAGCAGCAAAGCTTCGATTTATAATTTCAATCTAGGAAAAGGAAAAAGAGTTTTTTAACCCCCCCCCCCCCAACCATGGTACCAAGTAACAAATTGCAATCCCAGCAAAGAACTAATTCAACGGTTAAACAAATGAGATTTTTGCACCTATTAACAAATACCTGCCGTGTGCAAAGGGGGTATAGTTTAAGAGATCCGTCCAATGAAAACTATCAATCTTCACAACCAAGCGGTGATCTGCAACTTATGTGACCTAGACAGAAACAGAACCGGTGGTGGTATCAATTAGGGATCACCTGTCTCATTATTGGTTCGAGTGATGCTTTTCTTTCATCTAAGTTCAGTTCATTCTTTCGAAATATAGAAAATATATTCAATTTCTACAGACTCGTTTAATAAAAATGCTTTACAATATAATCGTTCTTAGCGCGCCTTTGACATAATTATAAACATTCTATTTGACGAGGAGCTTGGCGCTGCACAAAATGTGACCTGCGTTGGTCGAAGCGTTGTCCCAGCTGTTTTCGCAGCTGATTTCAAATGTAAAGCCAGTAGTACAGGATCTTCTTGCAGTTTCAGCAAAGATCAAAACTAGCTTTCTTGGAGTCAAAAACTATCAACAAGCGTGTTTACAAGATTTTGAGTTTTTCGAATGCCCGGCCTGTGAGTCTGCATTGGCGCGAAAAGTTTTGATTGGTGCAGAATGGGTACATAAGTCAATGGTTTCGATTGGTTGAGAGCTTCAGTAGACCTCGAGAAGAGAAACCTTTTCTTTTTTAATGACTCTTAATTGTCATCTCTTTTGGAGATTGTTGGAGCGAGTCAAATCACAAATCTCGCTCATAGTTGAGAACGACAAATAGACGATCTGCGGTGGGGGACGATAATTGGCCATTAGTTTGGATTAAATGTTCTGCCAAACAAGATGAGAACTATTCAGTGGCATAAGCACCATCTGCTGTGTACAAACAGATAGGCATTAAAAACTCACTCTGATTTGAATACTTTTTCAACTGATTAGCTGAGCCTGTCGAGTGGTTATTGTGATTGTGACTGTAATTGTGTTGTGGTGTGTTTTATGGTGGTGATTTTGTTGAGTCGCTTCAATGGCCGTCTACTTTGTTCGTTTGTTGTTGTTGTGCTTGCATGGCCGCCAGCGAGAGCCTTCTCAAGTACACCTGGCAAGAGGATTAATTGACGTTAATTAACTTCTAAAACTCACAGAAACACTCTCAATATCAACACTAATCTACTTAGCTAACGCGAGAGACTTCAATTGCACTTTGTTGTGATAACAATTGTTTTCTTCATTTTCAGCCCCGAGTCAATCTCAGAAGCATTAAAACAACAGCACAGAATGATCGAAGCAGCACTGCTGTAGTTTAGCTAGATCTAGTTTAGCGTAACTAGTCGTAACTCGGCCACTTTTCTGGCGCCGTCGGTTGATTGAAGCGCGACTGCGAAGGCAGGACTTAGCTCATTGCTTATACCAACAGACTGTCGCCGCCGCCACCAATCAGCTATACCGCCGCCACTTATGAACAAACCAAACAACAACAAACAAATATCACCACCATGCCATGCGACTTACTATGCCAGTCCAGAAGAGCCAGCAGCAGCAGCAGCCACAGTCAGCCAGGCCGCCAACAGCCACCGGCTAATCACGGCGCCACCGTCAATATAGCTTCTCGCTCTCTCTATCTCTGTCTACCAATTTTGATGCCCCTTTAAAAAATTCATCAAGTTTAATACACGCTTGTGAAGTTCTCGCGGATCTCGTATTAAGTGTGGTTTTTCTAGTTGTGGATTCAGAACTTTTAACAGAGGCTGGTTTCAAAAAATTGGTGCCTCTTAATCAAATTATGACATTCTACTTCCTATAGGAAAGAGTAATTCTTAAGTCTATTGAGTTAAGGGGTTGTGTTACAATATATTCTGAGGCACCGGCAAAATTATGCATGTGAAATAACTTTGAGCTTTTGTAGATAAATTATGCATGTGAAATAACTTTGAGCTTTTGTAGATGCATATTTTATTAGTTTTTTGAGGATAAAAAGATGAACAAAGACACTTTTATGAAGTTTCTCGACTAAAACTAGAAGTCATAAAAAAGATATCACCATAAGTTTCAGCGGGTAAGGGAAACAGGGAAGTATACGTCATCGTTCTCGTCAGCATTACAGCGCTCTCACAGACCAGAAGATATCCATTCTGAATGCTCAAACATGTTAATCTCCGCATTTGGGCTCAATATTTTGAGGTATTGAAAACACCTCGCTCCGTTCCCCGCAAGAAAACCATAAATCCGATCCGATTTTGATTCTGTGTAGAATCAAAAGCCACAATGAAAGGTTTTCATGGGCGATAACTCTTTTCGAGCTTCCTTCTCATGAATATGTTTGTTCACGAGTAAATCCAGTCCGCAGCCTAAACATACCGAAGAAAACATAATGATAAACTGGACAATTCTCATTTTTTAGTAGATTTGCGTTTTTCTCCTTGGTTTGTGCGTAACCGTCTGGATTCCTCCATCAACCCAAGTAGTATTGTATCATGTCCCGGATCCGGGATTTCTTCCTGAGTAATAAACTATTCTAATTCTATATACCTATGTACAATTACTGTACATAAACTTAAAAGGACTAAAACTATTAAAAAGAAGTATGTGAATTAGGAACGTTCAAAGGACAACTGATCAATATCTCATATCGACCAATGGTCGTAACTAAATTGGTTAACAAGTATTAATTAAATACCGAAGGTCATTTAAGACACTAAAACAAATCACAACATTTCCATCCGGGAAAAAAAAATAAAACTGCAAACTAACTACATAACTCTATATACACCCTTTTTCCCCCTTCGAGAATGAACAAAATTTTACAAACTGCACCATGAAGGTAAATATACAGAAGCAAAATAGAATCCACAATTGAGAGAGAATGTACAAGATACAGGGTGACTATACAGAATTACAAATTTACAAAGTACAGTAACTAACTAAATTAAAACTAATCCACGACATGTACATTAACATGTACAATTGTATCTACAGGTAAAATTGAAATTCAGACGGTAAGATATGGGTCAATTTTGTATTTTGTTCAGTTTATTTGGTATGTGAGTTAATTAAAATGGTTGTCAAAATCATCCAGTTTATCCCTCATTTCCGAATCTATAGTCAAGGAGATTTCGCTGCAGTTGTCTACCTCGTGCGGGGAGTCCTTCCTGATCTGGTAGGCTGAGTTTGAGCCCGAGGAATTTTCGTGGAAATGAGTCTTCGTAGGAGAAGTTACTGGACTGACCGTCGGGAGAGAGTTCTTTGATGACCAGGATAACGTCGTTTCCGCAACGAGAATTTGTCGGGGAGGGGCCTCCGCTAGTGGTGTCAATAAATCGGACGGTGATGTGACCGTAAAAGTAGCCCTGGGAATGTCGGGTGGAGAGGAGAATACTGAAGGTGACACCCCAGTGTCATCTTTTTCTAGAACCACGTCTATAAAGCGGCGATTTCCGTAAAACTGTGGGGGCCCACATTTCTGCGTGGTCTAGAATGTCCAGGCTTTATCGTCGGGCTGACCGTAGGCTTCGGAGTACTGTCTACTAGTATTGGGTTATCTTGCGACCCTTCTGTTGCGGTCGAGTCGGGGATGATAACGATCTCCCGGAGGTTGGTGTTCGCTGGCCTTTCTGAGCTCGGGTGTGGGGATTCGACGGTACCTGTAACACTTAAGCCCTGGTTAGCTTCGGAATGATGGCTCTGAGGTATATTGTTATTGGTCACATCGTCGAAGTAATCATCGATTATCCCGTCCCACGAATATAGGTTTAAAGAAGAAGAGGAACCTGAAGAGACTCTTGAAGAGTCTTGAGTGGCCACGCTCACAGTCGGTGCACTAATCCCTGCTCTGGTCTTGGACGCTCTTGAGGTGCCTTGACCCGACTGCCCAGAGGGTGTCGATACAGCTTTTT